CTTTTCGGGCCACGAGTTTCTCACATAGGAACTCCTATGACCGTCGTCTTGCTCAATTTAAAATGAATAGCTTACGCGACCGGCGACAAATGTTGGATGTTTGCTTTCTGCATAGGGTAGTAAATGGTCAGTTGAGATGTAACGAATTGCTCGGAAAGATTTCAATATCCGTTCCTCACCACTATCCCAGACAACCAATACTTAAACTTTTCTATACTCCAGCATGCAGAACAAACCTTGGCTTGCAATCACCTTTGACACGAATTTGCTGCAATTACAATAATGTGTTATTAAGAATAATGATCTTGACATTTACCATATGCGCTAAACCAGTTAAAAATCAAAGTTATTGCCTAGTTGTACTCGTAGTAGTTTTTAGAAACCACTTCTGTTCTTTTTTTTGGTTCAATATTTATATTTAGTAATCATCTTTTTTTTTATTTGCTATTGCTGCTATTTTTAGTGTTTCTTTTATAAACAAAATTTCTAGTAACTGTTCCATTGGATCCATATTTTATCTCACTGTACTGATATTGTTATGAATGTTATGTACACCGTAATTGTTGTATATATCAGAATAATTACCATCAACTGAATGTAGCGTGAATTGTGTAATGTATACAATGTGGTTGTACTTATTATAATAAATAAATAAATAAGTATTTACAAAAAAAAAGTATATATGTATTTATATCAGTTGCCTAGTACCCATAGTGCAAGCTCTGCTTAGTTTGGAACTGGATGGCGTTGTGTCCATGTGGTAGAATATTATTATTATTATTATTACATATAGTTTTGTTTTCGGGGTAGCTATACAATTTTATTAAGATCTTGTAATAATCTTTACCTTTCTAATTCATTTTCCTTATACAAAGTCTTTGTGGAAAAGGGATCTCCCGCGTTTAAGTGGTATGTTTACACTCGTAAACCGACTGTATAGTTTATTGATACAGTTATTAAAAGATATGATGTCAGGACATTTAGATTGATATTGTCTAATTTGCAATATGCTATTTAATCAATGGTTAGGCGAAACTTAATCAATTAAAGCAAAATTTTCCTGTAGTCATGTTACAATTGCTGCTCTGCAGTGGACGGATGGTTCAAGCGGATGCCACGCCGCTTCCTACTACGCTGAGTGTTGTGGGTTCAAACCCCACATCGGACGAAACTTTGTGCGATCGACTTTGTGTGTCCGTTTCATGTATGTTTGTAAAGTCCCCCGCGACACAGGATATATTCCTAATGCGGGAGTTGTCTTAAAAAAAAAATACACCTAATGCAGTCTAGAGTTCTGTATTACTTATGCATAAGCATACCTGAGGGTGTGTTTGATTAAAGTTTTATTAGTTCCCAGTCGGTAGATAAATACACGTAGATAATAACTCGACTATGAATTAGACTTGAATTTGTACCTGTTACTTGCTTTTCAGTAAATCTACAGTAATATAATAGCGAAAGTGTGTCTGCCTGTCTATCTGTCTGTTACCTCTTCACACTTAAACCGCTCAACCGATTTCGATCAAATTTGGTATAGAGATAGCTCAAATTCCAGGAAAGGACATAGGATAGTTTTTATTTTAAAACGGGGTGGAAGTTTGTATCGGAAATCAATAACGGCTGATCCGATTTAGATGAAATTTGGTATGGAGAGAGTTTGATTTTTAAATTATAAACTAGTACGAATATATATGTTATATACATACACTCACGTCTTTTATCATTAAATGTACAGGACAGAGGCGTATTGATCGCCTCAATTTGCTGACCATAATTTTAAACCCACTTAAATAATAGAAACAAGTTTAATGCCGTTAACCGGGCACACATTTTTCTAATCAACATCATCATCAACAGCCTTTGATAGACCACTGCTAGACATAGGCCTCTGTTTAGAAAGGAGGTTTTGGCTTCCTATACCACACTGCCGAAACGGGTAGGTATAATGTTTGTTGAAAGTATTTTCTTCTCTTTGCAGTGCTGTTGTCTTGCATAATTTGGAGCCTTAGCCGGCTCTTACGAAACCCACGGTATGAATAAGGGTCACCACCCTTATTCATACCGTGGGTTTCATACTCGGTATTCTTAATCCGTCACCCCATGCGAATAACGGATATCATATTTTCATAAACTAAAAAAAAAACTTTTTCTTATGTCCCCGTTTAAAATGATTATATTAGATTATAATAGTGTCAGGCAGATGAATGGCCATATAGAAACTAGCAAAAATCTCTACTCTCTACGATTCTATATGTTTCAGGGCCTGGAACATGGCGATCTCACAGTGTACACGAAATAAATTTGGTATCATGTATTTAATTATTATTTGACGGCTGAATGGCGTAGTGGTTTGTGTAACTGCTACGCCAAAGGTCGTGGGTTCGATTCCCGCTCAAGTCAAATATTTGTCTCCATGAACAATAAATGTTTGATTTGGTTTGGGTGTTTCTATATTTCTAAAAAAACTATCTATGTATTTATATCAGTTGTCTAGTACCCATAGTACAAGTTCTGCTTATTTTGGCACTAGATGGCGTTGTGTGAATGATGTAAATTATTATTATTATAATTAAGCGTTTGAGGTTAATTGTGTATTGTTTGTGTTCTTTGAGGCTGATTTGACTTTACCCCTGAACCTTTACTTCGCTTAATATGTCGATGAATGATGATCAAGCGAGCCAGTGCTGAGGCAGTTAGGGAGGCTCTTAAACCGAGGTGATACGATGATACCACGGCTTCACACAATACGTCTGGGTAACTCATTAGTTGCAATTAAATGAATGAGTTAGGGTGCCAGAGACCCTTCCCCTCCCTCCTACATCTTGTGTTGATGTTCACTTACCAGAATGTGACTTTACTGCGAGCAAAAGCTAGCATAATATAACATCATCATCAGCCTATCGCAGTCCACTGCTCTCCATAAGGCCCTCCCATTGCAAGCCACTGAGATTGATTTTAGGCTTCTCGCATCACGTACATGTAGTGATTTAAATGCGTTAAAGGGCTCGAACTTGTCATCTCTTGCTAGTTCCAATTACCAGTATGTGACTATTTATCCAGGTAAGTATTATTCTTATTAAGTAGTGGGTGTAGTAAGAGCCGACTAAGGGAGCAAACTACAAGACAACAGCACTGCAAAGAGAAGGAAAACTTGAAACAAACCCTATACCAACTCGTCAGGCCAGCGTGGTATAGTATTCCAAAACCTCCTTTCTAAGGAGAGGCCTATGACCAGCAGTGGACTATTATTGGCTGTTGATGTGATGTGAAGTATTATTCCTTTCCTTTATTACTCTGACTCTTTGCCCATATTTGCGGTATTATCGGATCGATACGACCTTCAAACCTTCAAAAAAAGAGCGTACTCCTTCCAAAAAAGGCCGGCAACGCGTTTGTGATTCTTGAGTTGCAGACGTTCATGGGCGGCGCTAGTCACTTTCCATCAGGTGACCCGTCTGCTCGTCTGCCCTCTCTAACATAAAAAATAAATAAAAATAAAATCATTGCCAATTTTTTCCAATTTTTTTTTCAATTGTATTTGATGAAACGTGTGTGTTTTATAAGCCATTTTTCATTTGTATGGAAACCCTATCAGACCTTCACCCTACCGGTGTTTGCAGTGGGGCTATGTGTGCGAGTCGAACCGACTAAAACCACATAGTGTGCCACATAGCGGGAATAGTTCTATTAAGACATTTAGTATTTGATACGCCTTTACGCCTAATAAACTAAGAAGGAAAGAGAGTATAGTCTCCCAAATAAAAATGAATGAGATAGTTCTGAGAGTGTTAAAAATATAAAGGTTTAGTGAATTTCAGGGCATTATACTGAGCAGAGGGAACATGGGGTTCCCACACGGGGGGGGGGGTCGTCTACTCGTCTGTAGATGGCCCGAGGTATGTCGGGGCACCAGGGACTTCCTTTCTAGGGTATACCTGGTTTCCCGGCTATTAGTACCCGAGACGGCGTGCGGTTTTAGTAGGTTCATTCAAGTGCGGTTTTAGTCAGTTCAGTCAAAAAAGAAGGGCATTATACTAAAACGAGGTAAATAATAAAAAAAAAATGTATTTGTCTACTTATGAACTAACAAAATACAAAACCTTATTCTAATCATGTCCGTCGCTTAGCTTTTAAAGCTCGAGTACCTCCATTCAGTTAAACATAAATAAATAAATAAGTACATCATAAAAAAACCTAAGAGATTCTACATGTGTCTTTGACACATTCGAAGATAGGGTCTAAATCTACAAAGGAGGTCCTTCAAATTCGACTATTAAAAACTATCATAAAAATGACAAAGAGAGCTAATTCCAAAAATACGATTTTAAAGAAGTTAACACTTGACTAGATAGCATTACTAGTTCTACTTACATATCAAATGCTTAATATTAAGTATCAAATTAGAATTGGAATAAATATTATCACAATTTAGGAATTGCGCAAAATCATTTACGCTACTTACAACTAAAGCATACAAAAATACTGAACAGTGACTTCGCCAAATGCGAAACGAGTTTTAACCAAATAATACCTAGTCTGAGTTACAATTAAGTACAATTCACATAAAACCAAAAAGTCAGGAAATAAAATAATGTCTACTCACAGCACCTTTTGGCCCCAGTTTATCTTAATTAGCTAAAATAAATATCTTATATAATAATACTGTTAAATTATTAAGACTACAGGACATTTGAGTCAGTCGCGTTGTGTGTATACTGATAATTGTATCTTAAAGATTACTAGTAACTACTACAAGCTTCTTTTCACACATGTGACTTGTGACGTTCTTACACTAAATTTGTTTTGAGTCACCAATATACTTCACACGTCACTGCGAGTGTCGACACACTATTTACACTAATCACAACATGCGAATAATTGTTCTATTAAGTCTTTCAAGTCACAACACTTTTTCTCTCAGTTATCACGTCTACTTCAAACTGTCTGTGCAATGAACACGTTCTGTATGTTATATCCTTCTCCTCATTTCGCAAGCACATTTAGACCGATTCCACCTCATATTCCGGTTCCGCTGTAAAGAATAAAAAAGACATTGCAAACTTTGTTCTCTAAATAAATACAGTTACTTTACCACATTCATTCAAAGTTATTGTCAATGAAGTTTTACAACAGTTAATGTAAAAAAAAAACTAAATTCAACAGTAAATAAATCAAGAATGACTGTGATGATGCTATAAAAAATATGTTAGAACACAAAAAGCAAAGGTTGAAGACAATGGATGTCAGTATAAACGATCGAACACAAATCAGGCGTCAGACATTAACCGAATGTGTTTTCTGCTATTCGAATTTAGGCCGATGTGGATTCGACCTCAATCTGCATAAAAACACATTTACGGTACACTGTTTGAGTAAAAAGAAGAAGACAACATCGATAAAGAAAAAATAAGAAAGCGTTTGTTATAATAGCGGTTGAAAAAAGTGCTGACGCTTGCTCGGCAAGGCATGCTTGTGCGCCGATTACGTTAGTGCTGACAGACATCCACTATCTTACGAACCTTTGTGAGACAACTTCGGCGTTCTTCCATATTTGGGCATTGGCAGGAGCACTTACGAGGATTGAACACTCTCGGCGCGGCGCACTTCTCAGGCGACAGCGCGCAACACCCGCAGCTAACATGCTCTGTGATTGGATACGTTGCGCACGTCTCCTTGTCAGTCTTCAAGTTGTATATTCGTATCTGATAACAACGGAACACATTATTCTAGACCGTAAACGTACGAATTTCGACTGAATGACTCATCAATCGCGTTTAAAAATTATGTCATTATTACCATCAGATATAATATGAATGTTAAATTGTGCAATTGATGGTATTCTCAAATGAAATTTCTAACCAGGTCAAGGATGGATACTGACTATTATCAAAGAGATAACGTTTTACATCAAGGGTAATTAGATTTATAATCGTGTGTGGAGTACTTACGGGTATATGTCGGGTGACGGTCTCAGTAGCTACGCAGGTACCTTCATTGTCGTACTCGCAGAGGCCGACGCATCTTTTGACCCAAACGGCACGAGGACTAACCTGGGGAAATACGAAACGTCAGTTGCGTATAATACAGATTGCGTTGCGAATTTTCTCACGCGCTGGTATTTTTTGACCGCGATCACGGATGTGAATTGTATACCTATTACTAACGCTTAAATTTGTCTCTACCATAATGTTAATTATAAGTCATTAATTAAATTTATTTAATGATTACATTTGATTCATGTTTAAGTATTTCTTTGATAAAATCATATTGATATATTATTTTATTTCTAGTCGTTAAATTCAGTTATGTGCTAATAAGGTCATTAGATAATGAGATTATAATGAGTACTAACATTATTGTGTAGTCAAAAAATATGTATTTCGTCATAATTTTCTTTACTTTTATTCCATTGCTGTCGTAGTTATCTTATAAGTTTTAATTACCTGTTCATGTGCAGCATTGATCTTCAAATATTCAAAAACTTCTTTTGGTTCTCCACATTTGGATTGTTCAATAATATCGTCACGTTCGCGGGCATTTTCACTTGAACATACAACTGTAATAAAAAAATGTCTCGTTATTCTCTAAATGTTTAATTTAAATTTATTAAAAATTTTGTAAAAAAAAAGTTTCTTTTAATAAAAAATATTGTTAAGATAGTTCACCTTTTCTAGGTACAGGTATAATATAATCCTCAGCATTTTTAGGAAATTTAGGATGATGTTTGTGTCCACTAACGGCAACGATAAGCACAAAACACAACAATAATTTCTCCATTGTAATTTTCAATTATACTTTCACTGTTACAATATCACTTAAATCACACTGTTATCGGTACAATTATCACGTGTTCACTGAACTCTGGCTGTTTCTACTACGTGTTACTCCTTCGACGGCTTGGTTAAGTATGACCGCTATCGGCGCGGTTTTCTGTTATAAAGCTTGCTCGAAAAACCTGATGTGCGGTAGACACACCTCGTTGCGTCACTCTACGTGTAATGTTTGGACAGCTGATACGGACAGTACGTCATGATGGTGATGACAGTCAAAATGTGGCAGTCATTTTAGGAATTTCGGAACGGATTTGAACAATATAATACTATGGATATAATTTTCTTGTTAGATAGTTGTGAAGGATTTTTTGTACATTAGGTTTAAATCCGTTGATCTGTTTTGTTTTTTAATGTCAGTTTAGAAGCTTCCAGATTGCTTCTTACAGTGCTTCAATATTGCCTTTTCGGTAGTATCTAGATTTATCTTAAATCATTTGTTTTTTTTTTGGTATTACTAGATTGTAATAGATATACAATAATTATGCAATAACAAAGATTAACCCATATAAAACCCTTTAAAAGAAACTTATAGTGCTTTAAGAAATGTGGGGGCGTAGGACGGGCTTTTTTGTGGTTTATTATGAAAGGAAATCCCTGAGTCTTACAAAGGAAAGTCAATGGTCTCTCCGTTCATCATAAATTCTTCTTATCTTATCACTGAAAAAAGGACATACGTTTATTTTCAAGTATATAGATAGTTTAATTAAATAACTGCACAAAGAATAATAACACGCATCATTTTTTTCTACCATAAAATTTCTTTACCAAATTATAATAATAATAATAATAATATTTAATAACACCAAAGTAAGTACAAATTTTCTAATACAACATAATGTTCTTAGGTTAGTTAGGTACACAGTGTTTTTTTCCTTTCTTCCCTTTATCTTGTTTACCTTGTACATACATAGTATTTCACCGTATTTTTACACTTAGAAAAAAAAGAAACAGAATACACACAAAATCATTGATCTATGACCCCATGCTAGGAACATCCTGTGTTATGGGAGTCATCCATCCGTCTGTAATGTGTTCAGGTGTGCTTTAAATGTGATAGCTGTTTATATATATTTATTTTTAATGATACATACAAGAGAAGGAAGTAAGAAAAGAAAATAAAAATAAAAAGACAATATATATATATGTAGGAATGTGTGTGTTAGGGTGGGTAAGTTCGTTAGGTTGGTTCGTTGGTTGGTTGGTGTGGTAGGTAGTGCAAGTGTGTGCATTATTGTCAACCTATAATAACGTTAGGGAATAACATTTACCTTGCATAATATTTGATTGTGGGTAAATATTGATTGGAATAAGTGTAAGTGTAGATATATTTGTGGGTTGGTGAATAGAGGATAGGTTTAGAAATCAAATGACTGTTCATTTAATCAGATCTTCTGTTTCATCATAATTTAGGGTTTGGAATTATATCTAGACTTTAGTTTTAAATCTAACCCTAACATTAAAACCATGTTATCCGGTTTGAACATGTCTGCATCACGGAACTAACTGTCAGTACCGCTAACTGCATGACGCAATACGACATCCTCGCCAGTTTCCAAGACTTCACAGATCAACTGGGCTCTCTAAGGTTCGAAAAAGCTAAGACCTTGGTCAACTTGACGCAGTGGAATTTCCTTTCCTTTTGTAATATAAAGATAGACCTTACCGATTCTCCGAAGACGGTGAAAGTAGTTAACGTGATTTATCTATATCTATCTTGTGTTCAAAAATGTCTAATGTAACAATTGTATGGATTACATGTGTGCATTCCTCAGTAGCGACAGGTATACACACCTACGCCGTATCGTAACCTAGATTCGTATTGACTCTATCTATTTGCACGTGGAACAGCCGACGGTTTTCTTGACATGTCACGACGTGTAATACACAGGAAGCTTACACGTGCCGGGCCCTCTACGATGTCAGTTATCGTGACCAAAATTATATACTTCTCAGATAACTACAATGCTTTTCAGGAGGATTTTATTGCTTTCAAACGTATTATCGGTCGTGTGGAAATTCGCACGGGTTGATATTGTATCGGCGGCTGTGAGGTAGTTTTGTTGTAATTTCATTTGCCTCCTGAGTACTCTAGAGATAGCCATTGTAACTATGTCCAGCTCCGGTAGGTTCTAGCTATCTGGTTAGTATAATTCAAATTATATTTCCAAACTAACATCATTTTCAAAGAGCGTACTCCTATCTCAAAAGCAGGCAAAGCATTTGGAACTCTCGAGTAACTCAAAAAGTATCAATGTGTGGCACTTTTCATCAGGTTATCAGGTTAGGTTTTCGTCTGCTCTTGTTATAAAAAAATCTCCATCACAAAAGGGCGTGTAGACAAGAACCTTCGAATACGTTGAATGAATTTATCTATAATCCTTTATCGCATTGTAAATACTGATTATTTATTTAATATGTTATATTGTATCTAGGAATGCAGAAATAATTTAATTTATCGAAGATTAGTATATCAATGGGGTATGTACCGTTTGAAGGTTAGAAGTATAAAAGCAATTTTAAGTTCATTAGCATCAGTTAAATCGTTAATCTTAACTATCGTTAATCGTTATTCGGAGTTAGGAATTAGCTGTATAAAAAGTAGATTCAGCCAATCTAGCCTTTTTGATTTTGAAATATTTTATATTCATCATCATCATCAGTCTTTATACTCCATTGCTTGACATAGGCCTCTCCTTAGAGAACAGGTTTTGGCTTAATAAACCATGCCGGTCAGACGGATTGGTTTAGTATTTGTTTCAAGTTTTCCTTCTCTTTGCAGTGTTGTTATCTTGCGTAGTTTGCTCCCTTAGTCGGCTAACGACACCCACGGCATGAACAGGGATTGTGACACTCCGTATTCTTCTTCTGTTATGTTACACGGGGGGGTCGTCTACTCGTCTGTAGATGACCCGAGGAATGTGGGGGCACCAGGGACTTCCTTTCTAGGGTATACCTGGTTCCCCGTCTATTAGTACCCGAGACGGCGTGCGGTTTTAGTCGGTTCGGGTCCGACATGCCACCGATAGGTAGTATCCGAGGGGATTTCCGCACGGAAAAAAAAAGGGGAAAAACAAGTAACTTCTATACTTTGAGTTTATCTTAGTCGAAAATAGATGCAAAATTTTCCATGAAGCACCACAACAGTTGTTGGAAAAGTTAGTACTGAATTTACAGGAGCCATATTTGATATTTCATAATTGACAAAGTAAATTATTGTTGCTATAATTAGTATTGATATAAACATTATTAATTATATCGATTTCTGATTGTATAGGTTTGTAAAACTAATAGTCGATTTTGAAAAATTGTTGAGTAATATTATGAAATATAGATATTGAATTTGAATTTCAAGTATGTTTTGAATCTAGTTGACACAGACATACATTAGAGGTATTACTCATGACTTATTGACAATAACGTTTTATAACCAAAAAGGTATCGCAGCTTATTTTTTCTTTTTTTTATGGTATAAGGGGGTAAACGAGCAGACGGGTCATCTGACGGTAAGCAACTTCCGCCGCCCATGGACACCTGCAACTCAAAAGTCACAAGTGCGTTGTTGCGCAGTTGTTGTTGTAGAGGGGGGATTTGGGCTCCGGTAACCTCACTCACTCAGTGAAAGGCAATGAAAGAATTGCTTAACACCGGTTTTCTGTGAGGCCGTGATATCACTCCGGTCGAACCGGCCCATTCGTGCCGAAGCATGGCTCTCCCACGGTAATTGGTTTTGAAACATTGTTATACGTATAAAATAATATTACACATCTCCTACAGAATTGGCGAAAGTTTAATATCAATACGTGTACGATAATACGTGATGCCCGAAGCGTTTTGATCTGGAAGTCATTGATTTACATTCATATGTGACTCAATTGTAATTTTTGCTGTGTCATCCTTACTTTTATTTTTATCACTATTCGTTTAATAACTAGCGTAGGTATTATCTAACCGGTATGTAGTATTCGCACGCGCTGGGTCATAAAGTTACCGATAAAGTGCCAACATTTTGGTGATTTCCAGATACCACGCATGTAATTATCATATTAATTACAATGTCATTGTAAAACGTGATACTGAACTGTGTGGTTATTCGAGTCAAGTTCGAATTATGATGCTACCGTTTGGCTTGATATGCTTATAACAGACCCAAACAACGTCAACGCACTTGTAGCCCTTCAAATGACTGCTTGTTTGCTCCCTAAACCATAACATTCCGAAATATTGTGTGTAAGGATCGTTGATATGAAACAACTAAACCCCATGCGTGTGACTCAAGCCTCTGATTAAAAGTAATAAAGGCTTTCACTTGTACAGAAGTCATTACAATTAGAATATTAATTATGTTTCCATTAACCTATATTATTTCATTGTAAATGAAGTTTTCATAGGCCTGAGAGAGTGAGCAACATTATAGTAATTACCGCCTTTTTCTGTGAAAACTTAAACGTATTTAACTAAGCGTGCTTTTTCTACGAAAGCGTACACGTCATAATTTTTACAGTAGAATTTGTGACGTCATCGTGACTGGTCTAATACAACGAACCTTCCTTGAGCCTGTTTCGAGTTCAATTGTTATTCTTTGTGGTACAAGTAAGGAGTGAAAAGTTAAACATTTAAAAAAAACACCATTACAAAATGCAATGCAAAAATTTAAATATAGAATATCAAGCAAACATACGAGTATATATTTAAGCAAATATAGCATATAGCAATCAACTGAACGTCAATTCAATTATATTCAATTTCAATGCAATAACAAATAATTGAATAATTAAAATTTCTCTAATTAAAATCCAATGTGAATAATTAAAATCAAATATAAATAATTGAAATATTGTAACATCCTTAAAATTAAAATATAAATAATTAAAATCGATTGAGAAGTGAGAGAAGTTCCTAAATTTGATTTTAATTTAGTTTTTGAGGTTTGGTTTTAAATAAATC